CGTTGCTTTTGGTGTTTTAGACCGTGAAGTCCTTACCCCTGCAAATGTCCTGAATGGTATTACCTGGTGCGTTTTCTAGGGTTTTTATGGTATTAGGTCTACATTTAAGTCTGCATCATCTGTGAGTTAATTTTCCTACTAAGAGTAAAGGAAAGGATCCAGTTTTCAGCTTTCGTACTTATGGCTAGCCAATTTTCCTCAGCAGCACCATTTATGTAAACAGGGAATCCTTTCCCCATTTCTTCGTTTTTGTCCAGGTTTGTCAACGATCAGATTGGCTGTAGACTTGTGGCTTATTTCTGAGGGCTCTGTTTCTGTTCCATTGGTCTATATCTCTGTTTTGGTAGCCAGTTACCATGCTGTTTTTGGTTACTGTAGCCTTGTAGCATACGTTTTGAAGTCAGGTAGCGTGATGGCCTCCCATCTTTTGTTCTTTTCTTAGGAATTGTCTTGGATCGGGCTCTTTTTGGTTCCATATGAAAGCTTTAAAGCAGTTTTTTCCAATTCGGTGTGGAAAGAAAATTCATTGTAAGCTTATAGGGATGGCATTGAATCTATAAATTACCTTGGGCAGTATGGCCATTTTCCACTATATTTCGATTCTCCCTATATCCATAAGCCTGGCTATGGTCTTCCATTTGTTTTGTGCCTCTTTTGTTTCAGCTAGGCAGTGTCTATAGTTCTCCTTGAAGAGGGTCCTTTACATCCTTTGTAAGTTGGATTCCTAGGTATCTTTATTCTCTTTGAAGCTATTGTGAATGGGAGTTTCATTCATGATTTGGCTCTCTGTTTTTCTTTACTGGTGTGTAAGAATGCGTTGTGGATTTTTGCCACATTAATTGTTGTATCCTGTAGACTTTGGCTGAATTTGGCTTTTCAGCTTAGCGGAGATTTAGGGCTGAGATGATGGGATTGTTCTAAAGTATACAAATCACGTCATCTGCAAACAGACAATTTGACTTTCTTTCTTTTCTGAAACTGGAATACCCTTGATTTCTTTTCTCTTGCCTGGATGCCCATAACCAGGAACTTCACACATGTTGAGTAGCAGTGTGCTTGCAACAAAAGCCAAAATTGACAAATGGGATCTAATTAAACTAAAGAACTTCTGCACAGCAAAAGAAACTACCATCAGAGTGAACAGGAAACCTATAAAATGGGAGAAAATTTTTGCAACCTACTCATCTGACAAAGGGCTAATATCCAGAATCTACAAAGAACTCAAACAAATTTATGAGAAAAACACAAACAACCCCATCAAAAAGTGGGCAAAGGATATGAGCAGACATCTCTCAAAAGAAGACATTCATGCAGCCAACAGACAGACAAATGAAAAAATGCTCATCATCACCGGCCATCGGAGAAATGCAAATCAAAACCACAATGAGATATCATCTCACACCAGTTAGAATGACAATCATTAAAAAGTCAGGAAACAACAGGTGCTGGAGAGGATGTGAAGAAATAGGAATACTTTTACACTGTTGGTGGGATTGTAAATTAGTTCAACCATTGTGGAAAACAGTATGGCAATTCCTCAAGGATCTAGAACTAGAAATACCATTTGACCCAGCCATTGAATTACTGGGTATATACCCAAAGGATTATGAATCACGTTGCTATAAAGACACATGCACACATATGTTTATTGTGGCACTATTCACAATAGCAAAGACTTGGAATCAACCCAAATGTCCATCAGTGACAGACTGGATTAAGAAGATGTGGCACATACACATCATGGAATACTATGCAGCCAGAAAAAAGGATGAGTTTGTGTCCTTTGTAGGGACATGGATGCAACTGGAAACCATCATTCTCAGCAAACTGTCGCAAGAACAGAAAACCAAACACCTCATGTTCTCACTCACAGGTGGGAATTGAACAATGAGATCACTTGGACACAGGAAGGGGAACATCACACACCAGGGCCTATTATGTGGAGGGGGGTGGGGGAAGGGATGACATTGGACGTTATAACTGATGTAAATGATGAGTTGATGGGTGCTGACGAGTTGATGGGTGCAGCACACCAACATGGCACATGTATACATATGTAACAAACCTGCACATTGTGGACATGTACCCTAGAACTTAAAGTATAAAAAAAAAAAAGAAGTACATAGTAAGCATAAAAGGTCAGCAAAGTAAGACTGATTAAAGAAGGAGGAGAACCAGAAGAGTGGAGTGTTAAGTAGACAAAATTAACTAAGTACTATTCACTGATGACTGACAAAGAATAAATGTTATTATAGGTCATTTATTAGGTATGTTTAAAGACAAAAAGAATAGTATCAGTGGATTCAAGAAGTACCACAAGAAAGAAGTGATAGCAGGAATGCAATTCTTGATGAGAATGAAAGTATATAAAAACAGATGAACAAGAAGTCCTAGTGATTCTAATGCCCCCTCTAGTGAGATGCCCTAGAACACAGAAGATAATTCTCACAAACAAAATTAGGTGTATCAAAATAACGATCAAGGAAGAAGGAAAAAAAAATGTTATTAATGTAGGGCTGAGAGTCAGGCAGCAAATTATTTTAAAACTTAACCTTATATGAAATATAAATGTTAACATTTTACAAAATCATGTATTTCTATAGTATGGTTGCAAGTAAGTAAAAAACACATGAAAAATGAACAGTACATGCCAAAAGTTAACAGATAGATTCTGAATAAAAAAAAAAAAAATTCCATATTACCCAACTTTCAAACAATAAATTACCTTTACTTAAAAAGATTAACTGAAATAATAAAGTCATTTTCTCCAAAAACTTCTAATCATGCGTGCTAAAAACCACAAAACATCTTTTCCCTCTTTTATTATACTCTAAATAGAGGAGGGGGTTCAGGACACGTATCCCAAAATGGGGCATCTTGGCGTATTGAATATTTTAAGCTGTAGGAATTTGAGAAACAACATGTACAAGAAGAATTTTTTCTGGCCTTCCCCTGAAGCAAGTCATAGCATGCTCATGTGAGAGGTGCCCTCCCTACACCTAAAGAATGGAGCATCTTTATCTCCATAGACACAGAGTGGAATTTGAATGAACAGGCTTTGCTAAATTTCCCCCAATTTATTGCACTTAGTTCACATCCCCTTTGTCCTATTATATTTCTCCATGACTTTTCCATCTTCATCACACCTGGCATAAAAACATTCAGGCTTAACCATTTCTTTGGGTCTTCATTTCCTTATATAGGCTGCCATGTCACATAAAACATATTAAATACATTTGTAAGCTTTTCTCTTGTTAATACATTTTGTTACAGAAGTCCCAGTTAATGAACCTAAGATGAGTAGAAGGAAAAGATGTTTTTCCTAACCTTACAGAAGTTTAACCACCAGATTATCAATGATTGAATATTTAAGAATATAAAAAGCATATTATAAGCATACCAATAAAAGTATATCTGTAATAGTTATAAGAGGCCTAAAGCAACCCAAAGATTCAAGCATTTCGTTCCTCTGCCAGAAGTCACCAGAATCAATGAAGACAAATTCTGTGCACCTGTCAAAAAGAAACTATCCTTCTACAAATAGGACTTGTTTAAATTTATCATGCCTACGGCTAATAATGATGACACCCTGTTGAGAACTGAGCTCACAATTTAGTTATCATCATCTAAACTTTAGTAAAACAAAATTTTAATTTAGTCTTAAGTAAACAATTGCTAAATTTACTGACAATGATAGGGAATTACCAGTTGGTTTGAAATTAACACCTTCATCCATCTTTATTAAGTCCAGGGATGATAAATCATTCAGATTCTTCAAACATAATTCTGTTTAATTATAGAAAACACATTTTAATTTTAGTAAAATAGGGAAGTAGGGCAAAATAATTTATTATAAAATATGTTAAAGTTGTTATTACTGTGTAATTGTTCTAAAAGAACCACAGTCCCTAATTAAGCGGTAAGAAAAAGCTCATTTAAATAAAAAAGCTAACTAATACGCTAAAAACATTTTCTAAAAGTAACAAGAATACAAGTAATAAAAAGAACATTCAGTAAGTAAAAATAACACTTAAAACTTGGAGTTTTAAGTAATACATGATACACAGGTATTACCTCATTTAATCCTCAAAACATCACAATAAGGTAGATACCGATATTTTCATATATAGGTTAGGAAACTAAAGAATAGAGGCTACGTACCTTGCTCCAGGTCTAAGTAACCACTTTGCTATCTGCCCTCCATTAAGGCAATGATTTTCTTTTTCTTTTATTTTTTCTTTAAACTTCTATCAAAGATATATTAATATATGCACAAAGTATAAGAAGTCAAATAGTTCTGCAAAGATTATTCCAAAAACCACCAGTTCTCCCCCTCCTCCCTCTTTGCCACTTTCTTGAAGCAACAACTTTAACTGATGCTTTCAGGTGTTTACTTTTGTTTCTCTGACAGGAAGCAATGCTAGTTCACGCTCACTATTGATGGGGATCAGAGCAATTGTAGTGATCTTCTGCTTACAGTTCCTTCTCTGCCTCATGCTATGCTCCAGGAGATACAAGATAGTTCAGAGCAGACAGTGGGAATACTGTAATAGTTCAATCCTAAATAGAGCAGCCACTCAAAAAAACACCCTTAGAGTTCTTCGGGAAATACTTTAGTTTAAGCAGCACTGTTTAGACAGCTTGATAGTGTTAAGTGTTTGGTGAAGTAAAGATTTTGAAGTCTTTTCTAATTTTCTTAATTACCCACTATTAAATCCGTTCATTACCCATTACTCGGTAAGTCAATGAAAAATGCTTACTTTACCATAAGCTGAGCATGATTCTAAGCTCTATGTTTACAGCAGTTAACAAGACAAGGTTTTTCTTTTTAGAACTTATATTTTACAGAAGAAAGCAATCAACATACAAATAAATATATGGTTTCACATATACTATAAAGAAACATAAGGCTAAGAACCTGTATAGAATGATTGTATAGAATTTTCAATCTTTTAACTAAAGTTTATGGTTATTTCCTTTTCCTTTTTTTCTTTTCTTTTCTTTCTTCTTTTTTTTTTTTTTTTTGAGACAGGGTCTTACTCTGTTGCCCAGGCTAAAATACAGTGGCATGATCACAGCTCACTGCAGCCTCAACCTCCCAGACCCAAGCAATCTTTCCACCTCAGTCTCCCGAGTAGCTGGAACTACAGGCATGTACCACCGCACCAGCTAATTTTTAAAATAACTTTTTGTAAAGGTGGGATCTCCCTATGTTGTCCAGGCTGGTCTCAAACTCCTGAGCTCAAGCGATCTGCCAACCTTGGCCTCCCAAAGGGATTACAGGCATGAACCACCATGCCCAACCTATATATATTTCTCATAAATGCTATATATTTTGATATAGAGTAAGGCTATCCTCACCCTAATTGTCAAAATAAACACATTACTTTTTCTAAAAACAAGGAAAACAATGATAACAACATCATAGAATCATTTTCTCTTCCTCTCAGTAAAGGTGGATTTAAGTAAGATACCACAGGAAGACCTCTCTAAAAAGTTAATATTTGAACAGAGACCTGAATAAAATGAAGGTGCGCACCATGTGAAGTATGCAAGGAGAGTTCCAAAAATAGGGAACAAAATGTGCAAAGGACCTGATGTGGGAACAAGCTTGGTGTATTTAAGGAATAGCAAGAAGGCCAATTTGGTGAGAGTAGAATAAGAGAGACAGAAAGTGACAAGAGATGTAGTTAGAGTAATAGGCAGGGAGATATCAAGCAGGATTTTGTGGCCTGTGGTGAAAATTTGTATTTTATTCTAAGAGTAATGGGGAAGCTATTAGAGTATACTGGGCAAGAAAGTATAATCAAGTTTAGGAAACAGCATATACTATGCTAACGATCCTTCCTGAGAGATGTAAGGCAGATCTCCAAGGATAATGCCAGGGCTCAGAAAATGCTGACCTAAAGCATTTCAAACTCAGTAAGACTGAGAGGACCTCAGAAACAAGAAGGTCACTCTGACCTTTCCCTGCCTTTCTGTGTGAAACATGGTCATAAAGGAATTCTCTGACCTACTTTGTCTAAATTCTAAGACCCTCATTCCACGGTGTGGAATAGTCCTGTCTCATACCCATGGAATGGTCCTGTCTCATGCCCAGGAAGAAAGAATGCTACACAGAGAGGCCAAGAAGAATCTGAACAAATAGGCCTTGTTAAGTTCTGCCCAGTTTTTTAACATTAGATAATACCCTTTTTGTCCAGTCATGTTTCTCGACAACTATCCATTTTTTTTCATTAGACTTGCCATAGAAACACAGTTTTCCCTGGGTCTTTGGGTCTTAATTTCTGAAGGCTCCCATATCATATACAACTTTGATTAAATAAATTTGTTATGCTTTTCGCTTGTTAATCTGTCTTGTTACAGGAGTGTCAGCTGTGAACCTTGCAATGAATGAGGAAAAGATGTTACTATTTTTTTCTCCTACAATACCCAAACCTTAATATTCAGTTATATTTAGCTATTTTTGTTTAGAAGGCAAAACTTTGCTAACCCTATAGTGACCAAAGATAAGGCAAATATGAGCTGTGATTCTGCTAATTTAACAAAAGATAAAACATTAAAGTTATCTGAATATAGCAGTATACCTCTTGGACTGTCTAATTTCTTGAGTGTATTTGATCATTATTTTCAAAATATATGTTTAATTTTTAAAATCCCATTACAAAATTAATCAATACCTTGAAGATAACACAACTTATAATCTGTATTTCAACATGAATACAGCAGCATTATAAATATATGCTATTGGTTATGACCATGTTTTAACAACTTATTTATTCTTTAAGCAAGACAATTTTACTGCTTTATCTTTATCTCTGCATTTTTACCTGCCACACATGTAATACAAGTAGAGAATAAATTTAAATTAGCTATATATTTTTAGAGGATCTAACTTTTTTCTTTTACTAAAGAGACAGTCTCAACTCAATGAAAAGTAGCAATTTCTAATCTGAATAAATGCCTATCAATATTTTACATTTTAAAAAACAAGTAAGAAATACCAGTTGATTAACTAAATAACAAAGTTGAGGTTGGATAGGAATACATCTTTGGCCCAGGTTGGGATACGAAGCCCATAATCAATCTAGGCTTATATTTTTCAATTAAAATTAAGTAGAAAAGAAAAAATACATGTTGGGCATGGTCGCTCACACCTATAATCTTGGTGCTTTGGGAGGCAGAGGTGGGAGGATCACTTGAGGCCAGGAGTTTGAGACCAGGTCGGCTGAAAAACACAGTGAGACTCTCTTTCTAAAAAAAACTACCAAATTAACCAGTTGTGGTGGCTCACGCCTATAGTCCCAGCTACTCAGGAGGCTGTGGCAGGAGGATCATTTGAGCTCAGGAGTTCAAGGTTATAATGAGCTATGATCACGCCACTGCATTCCATCCTGGGTGACAGAGTAAGACCGTCTGTTTTTAAAAAAAGAAAAAATACAGAGTGTGTATGTGTAGGCAAAGACCAGGGTGATGTTAGGAATAACAACCAAATAAACCAAGTTAACATATTATACAAAGAAAGATATTTGGACAGAATAAATTGATTAATTCAGCAAAAAAGTACATATGCCAAGCTTTTTGTGTGAAAAAGAAATAGTTCACATTATTTTTCTACAGGCAAGTTTCCTTTTTAAAAGATGATTTACAAAAGCATATTCTTTCACAATAACTGAACTTTTTCACTAAAATATATAGAATCTAATTTTTAGAATGAATTGCATCTAACCTTGTAATTTTGCTTCAATTCCATCTTTGTTCAATCCAGATGCAAAACCTGCATGTCATGAAAATTTACAAAAAGTAAAATAGAATTCAGTTCATCTTTACAGGCTCAGTTTATACCCCAGTTAACTAGTGAAGAGTAGTCTAATTAAGAAAAAAAATCTCAGCTTATTGAGTTCAAACAAGGCTTAAATATCCATAGAAACAATGAACAGGAATATCATATTTTAACAAGAATTGTTTGGAATAAATTTCCAAATGTTTTACACATAGCAAATATCTGTCAAGTGTTTAATATCTTCTAACGAACTTTCATTGTAACATGAATGTTCCTATGAAAACATGTTTGGTAACACAAACATTTTGTACTATTCACTGAAGTTGAAACTACACATACCCTTTAACTCAATAATTTCACTCCTAGGCACATACCCACAGATATACTATACATGTGTATCAAAAGATATATATAACAATGTTCACAGAAACATTATTTAAAATTAATAATTTCCTTTCATCAAAAGATTTATATTCATATAAATGGAATCTTTTCAAGAATAGATAAAGCTAGCCTATGGTATATAAGTTACAATAGTATTGACTTCTGGGGGCAAATACTGACAGAAAAGGAGCATGAGGGAACATCTAGAAAATGTTCTATATCTTAATCTGAGCTGTGGTTACATGTGTGTATATGTGTGTATAAACATACATATAAAACTTCATTGACCTGTACACCTCATATTTGTGCAGTTTACTCTAAGTGATATCTCAATACAAAAAAGTAACTACAGAAAATAAAGTAACTATGAAAATGAAGGAATGAAAATTAAAACATGAAAGATATCAATATTCATACTTGATATTCATAAAAATACACAAGTATACACCCTGAAGGAAAGGCTGGAGAAACAAAATATGGCACTTTTGAACACTGCTGATAGGTATATGAGCTACTAAGGTAGAAATTTACCCAAATTTATAAATGCATATATCCCTTGACACAGGAATTTCATTTCTAGAGATTTATCATACAGATAGATTCATACATGGAAAACATGAAGGGATTTTTTGGCTACATTGTTTGTAATAGCAAACAATTAGAAAAACCATAAATGTCCATCAATTGGGGATCATTTAAATAGGTGATACGTAAGTAAATGGAATATTATTTAGCTATTAAAAAAAGCTTCCAGCCAGGCATGGTGGTTCACAGCTATAATCCTAGCACTTTGGGAGGGTGAAGTGGGAGGATCGCTTGAGCCCACAAGTTCTAGACCAGCCTGGGCAGCATAGGGAGGCTCTGCCTCTACAATTTTTTTTTTCAAAAGTTAGCCAGTGTGCTGGCATGGGCCTGCAGTACCAGCTACTCAGGTGGCTGAGGTGAGAAAATCACTTGAGCCCAGAAGGTTGAAGGTGCAATAAGCTGTGATCACACCATTGGACTTCAGCCTGGGCAACAGAGTGACAGCCTGTCTCAAAAAAGCTATCAAGACATACTAAGAAAAAAAGGAATGTGCAGAAGACTAAAATAATGGAGGTTTAAAAAAATATGCCCACAAGGCCAGGCACGGTGGCTTACGCCTGTAATCCCAGCACGTTGGGAGGCCAAGGCAGGTGGATCACTTGAGATCAGGGGTTCGAGACCAGCCTGGTCAACATGGTGAAGCGCCATCTCTGCTAAAAATACAAAAAATTAGCCAGTCATGGTGGTGCGTGCCTGTAGTCCCAGCTACTCAGAAGGGTAAGGCAGAGAATTGCTTGAACCTGTGAGGTGGAAGTTGCAGTGAGCCAAGACTGTGCCACTGCACTCCAGCCTGGGCAACCAAAGAGGCTATCTCAAAAAAAAAAAAAAAATGCCCACAAATTCTTTGATATTCTCCCCTCTGAGAGATGAACTTAATCCCTCTTGCCTTCATGTGACCAAGACTCAGTGACTTGCTTCTAAAAAACAGAATAAAGCAGAAGTAATGATGTGTGACTTCAGAGACAAAGATATAAAAAAGTACTGCTGCTTCTGATTTAGTCTGTCTCTGTCTTTCTCTCTCTTTCTCTCTTGGATCATTCATCCTGAGAAAAGTCAGCTGCCATGCTATGAGGAAAGATCCACCTGGCAAAAGACTGAGGCCTACCAGCAACTGTGAGAAACTGAGGCCTCTAACTTATAGCTCTGTGAGTGAGACAACTCAGAAGTGAATCTTCAAGATCCAGAAAAGCCTTCAGATGACTGCAGCCCTAGCTGACATATCTTACAATCTAAAGAGAGCCTTTGACCCAGAGCCACTTAGCTTGGATACTCCCAGATTCCTAACCCACATAGGCTGTGCGAGATAATAAATTCTGGTTGTTTCTAGATGATTTGTTTTAGGGTAATTTGTTAAAAGGAATGGAAAACGAATACAATATGCCACCATTTGTGTTTCAATGGTGGAAAAATAAAATTACATTTTCTTATTTACATATGCAAAAAATATTATACAAAAAAGATATACCAATGATTACAGAACTAGGGGAGGGAAAGGGGAGAGATGGGAATTGAACAACTGTGTAGGTGGGGATATATATGGAAGAATTTTAGTTGTATATATTCCTTCACTTTATGATTTTTGAACTAAGTAAATGTATTACCTAGTTGAAACAAATTTTTTAAGTGATATGAATATTTATATAGATATTCTTTTAATATAGACTTATATTAATTACTCTTTGAGATCTGAAAGTTTTGAACCTCTGTGCATTAGAATAATTCAACAAGTCAGGCATTAATTTGGTATTCAACAACCCCAAATTGAATGAATGAATGAAAAAACCCTCTGGAAGCCACATAACCAGATGTAGGTTAGCTTTAGAAGCAAGATAAAAATTGTGACAGCAACAGTAGCACTATATACTTTCATTTCTTATAAATTGAAAAATAAACAGTCATAAACTCAGAAAGAGTAGTTGAACACTAAGTACATACAAAATTCAAAACTTTTTGTAACTTTAACTTATTTTCAATGATTTAGACATTTCTGCTATTTTTATTGGAGCTGAATTTTTTTCTACTAGATCTATTTTTAACGGTGCTGATTTCAAACCTTGTTGAAACACTAGAAGTAAAACAGATAAAAATTTCTCAGTTTGTCTGCTCTTGTCTCTAAACGTATTTGGGACTGTTGTTACTTTTTGTTTTGTTATCTATTAGTTTCTATAATCTATCCTGTAACTTACTAGTAGAAATACAGACCTAGCTGGCTTGAAAAAATTACTACTTTTCCAAGTCAAAGTAATAAATCATAATGAGATGGATTTTTCAACGCTCTGATATAAAGCAAAGTTGATCGTATTCATTCCAAAGCAATATTCACATCCGCGATGGTATGCAGTACTATCTCTGCATTTAAATGTTCAATAAGATGTCTGTGCAAACTAATGAAAAAAAAAAAAACTTTGCATTACAAATATGCAGTTCAATGCCATAACTCTTAATTTTTAACTTTAATAATATATAATATACCCATTGCCACTTTACTAATTCATGAACTATAACTTAATTTCCAAAAGCATAAAAGAAAAACTTAAAAAGTCAGTTCAGCTTCTAAAAAGGCTTCAGATATATCTCTCTACTCTATGGCTGTAGAAGACAGATTATTGCTTTAACAAAAGTTGAAGCATAAATTATATCCTATTTTCTCCAAAAGAGAATACATTAAATACCTTACTAATAGGTCCCAGATTTCCTCTATTATTAAAATAAGATGTGAAAATAGTTCTCCTTTATTACAAATTAGTAATTATAAATTTACATAATTTCATATTTAAATTATAATATAATCATAATTACTAAGGCTTTATTACAAATTAGGGTTTGTTATAAACAAGAATACATGCTTGCCAATAACTACCAGTGAATAAAACTTCTAACTTTTAAAAAAATTATTAAATTCCCTAAAGTGACACAAACTTTCTAGTTAAATTGTTGAAAACTTTACAGAAAATGGCCTTTAAATATCTCCAAACCAAATTTCCCTTTGATATTCTAAAGGGAAATAAGATAAGCTATATTAGCATTAGTATCTTTTTGGAACATTTTTGTATTACCTGCTTTTTACAGTGTCTCTACAAACTAACATCTGAATGTACTTGTCTCTTGTGCTTAATCGAGTCATGATAACTGCAGTAGCTGTAGTGTCAAACTGGGGAAAAAACAAACAGAAATTTAGTGAAGAAGAGCACATTTTAGTACCAGTCCTCTGCAATAACTCAAGACTTTCATTTTATATTAAACAGTCTCCTTGTCTGAAATAATACTTCGAAAAGGCCTTAAAAATGCTCTCACTTTGTTAACCTAAAATTTAATTTAAAAGCCTTCCAAGAGTATAGCTGTAAATATCACTTTGGTTTCAATGTAACATAATTTTGGCAATGATAAAATCAAAACAAACTCTGGTAACTGCATAAAAGTTGTAAGATTTGGTACAGTTTACATATAATCTGATTACTCTATGAAATTATAGAATTGTATAACACAATATTTACAAATGTTTTGAAAATATGCTCTTCCTGATGCTCCCATACTACCTACAAAAATGACTTATTCATGTATTTGTCAGAGTAGGGTATGTTTTGAAACGTATTTGGGCTGACTTTTGTCATAATGCCTGGGAACACTATTAGCATTTAGTGCTAGGACCCAGGGATGTTACATGCTCTGTAATGTGACAGCCCGAAACAAGATAAACCTGTTCCATCCAAAATGCTGAGTAACTCCATTCAGAATTAAAAAAAAAAAACAAAACAAACAAAAAAAAAGTCATAATTAAAAAAAAGACCTTTAACAGACCCATTCATAAACCCATCCCTTCATCAGCCAGTGCAAGCTTACACAGAATGAAGGAAGTATGTCCCAGTTGGTGAGGCTTGTTTTACTTTTATTCCTCCATTAAAGGTAAATTTTCTCTGCTATATTACTTTTAAGCCTGATGTAATTATGACAGCTAATCAAAAAATACCCATTTTTTTGTTTTTATCATGTTTTTAAGTATAAAAAGCAAAATCATTGTCACTTACTTGAGGTCGACCAGCTCTACCAATCATCTGTAGAATATCTGTTTCACTGTACTCTTCAAACAGTCCTCCAGCATAATGCATTGTAGATTTTATAACTACTAGGTGAGCAGGCAAATGTACTCCCATAGCTAAAGTACTGGTAGTAACTGCATCAGATTAAGACATAGTAATTTTGAGCCATTTAACTTTATTGCTTCAGGAAGACATTTTAATAAAAGACATTCTTATAAAGGTAATAAAAACTCATATATAAGAAATTTAGAAAGGAAAAAACAACATTACAATCTAAAATAGTAACACACTTAAATCCAAAAACTTATTAATTTCTTGTTTTTCAAATTACACTATGTTCAATAATATGACAAAGAACTAAACATTGCCAAAGAATCTACTGTAACATCTACATGCATAGGTAACCACTTAATTTTATATTCTCAGAAGAAAAGCAGAAACAAGCAGAATATTTGAGCTTTTCCTTTTTTTCCTCTGAAAAATAATTTTCCAAAATATTTTAGAGTATCCACAAGAAATATGTTTTAGTTACAAAGAATTGGTAAATCTCCAACAGTAAAAGCTCCTTCAACTACTTTTCTATCTGACAGCTCCATACCAGCATGATGATAAGCAGCACCATCTTTTAAGATATCTGTAATAGAAATATATCAGCTGTTGCTATTAATATTTCATCAATAATTGGCACCTTTCATCTGTATGTGAAAATGCTATTCAAAAATTATCTCTAAACCTACCTCTCAGTTTTGAATCTCTTATGGAATATGCATACTTCTGTAACCTATTTAAAAATACCATAAAATTATTGAGTTACTCCCAGGAACATTAAAGAACTCTGAAACAGTTTATTATTTTAAAACATAGATGTATCAAAAAAATTTCACAATATCATTATCTGAAAACTATTTTTAAGAAGTAGAAAATATCCAACTTTCATATTCAAAAGTCCCTAAACTTATGAGCTATAATATTAAACTCACTTTTAAGCGAAGAATTTGGAAAACTCACTTTCCCCAAGAAAACAACATAATTGGTGATTAACAAGTCAGAATATAAGTCTACTCTCAAAATTTGCCTAAAAAAATTGTAAGAAGTAACAATTTTGAAAACTACTATATCACTGGTAAGTAAGCAAAACAAACTAACAACAACAACAACAAAAAGCCCCATGGAAATAAACAATAGTTGTTTCCAGTGCTCTGAGACATGGCATTTACAAAAACTGTTACAAGAAGCAAAGAAGGTCATAATTTAATGATAAAGGGGTCAATTCATCAAGAGCACATAAGAATTGTAAAAATATAAACACCCAACACTGAAGCATCAAAATATATAAAACATTATTAAAGGACATGAAGAGAGAGATAGACAGCAATACAATAACAGTAGGGGTCTTCAAAATTCCACTTTCAATAACAATAGATTAACCAGACAGAAAGTTAACAAAGAAATACTGGACTTGAATTGTACTTTGAGTCAAATGGACCTAACAGACAAATACAGAACTTTGCATTCAATAGCAGCAGAATGTATATATGCTTTTCTAGTGCATATGAAACGTTCTACAGGACAGATCATACATTAAGCCACAAAACTAGATTTAACTATTTTTAATTAATCTAAATTCAAGACAATTGAAATCATATATAGTATCATTTCTGACCACAACAATATGAAACTAGAAATCAATAACAGGAAAAATCTTGAAAAAAACCACAAGTATGTGGAAACTAAACAACATGCTCCTCAACAATCAATGGTCAAAGAAACCAAAAGGGAAATTTAAAAATATCTTGAGACAAGAAACAATGGAAAGACAACACACCAAAACCTATGAGATGTGGCCAAAGTGGTTCTAAGAGGATTTTTTTTTTTTTTTTTTTGAGACGGAGTTTCACTTTTGTGGCCTAGGCTGGAGTGCAATGGCACGATCGCAGCTCACTGCAATCTATGCCTCCCGGGTTCAAGCGATTCTCCTGCCTCAGCCTCCTGAGTAGCTGGGATTACAGGCATGTGCCACCACACCTGGCTAATTTTGTATTTTTAGTAGAGACATGGTTTCCCCGTGTTGGTCAGGTTGGTCTTGAACTCATGAGGAAATTTTAAGCATTAAGTGTCTACATGAAAAAAGAAGATATTAAATAGACAGCCTAACATTATACCTACAGGAGCGAGCAAAAGAACAAACTAAATGCAAAGTTAGCAAAAGAAAGGAAACAATAAAGATCTGAACAGAAATAAATCAAATAGAGCACAAAAACCAAAAAAACATAGAAAATGATCAATAAAACCAAGACTTGGTTCTTTGAAAAAATAAAATAAATAAACATCTAGCTAGACTAAGGAAAAAAAAAAGAAGAACCAAATAAAATAAAAAATGAAATTGGAGAAGTTACAACAGATGCCTCAGAAATTAAAGAGATCATAAGGGACTATTACGAACAATTATACATTAATAGTAACAAATTGGATAACATATAGGAAATGGACAAACTCCTAGAAAAATATAACCTGCTAAGTTTGAATCAGGAAGAAACAGAAAGCTTAAACAGACCAATAACACATAATGAGATTGAAGTAGTAATGAAAAATCTTCCAACAAGGAAAAACCCAGAACCAGATAGCATCACAACTTAATTCTACCAAACATTCATTCAAAGAAGAATCACTACCAATACTTCATAAACTATTCCAAAAAATACAGCTAGAGGGAATATTTCCAAACATATTTTGTGAGGCCACTATCACTTTGATACCTAGGTCACATAAAGACACTACAAAAAAACTACAGGCCAGTATCTCTGATGAATATTGATGCAAAAATCCTCAATATAATGTAAGAAAACTGAATTCAACAACACAACAAAAAGGATTATACATCATGACCAAGTGGATTTATTCCTGGCAAGTAAGGCTGGTTTAATACATGCAAATCAACCACTGTGACATATCATATTAACAGAATGAAAGATAAAAAACACAAGATCATCTCAATTGGTGCAGAAAAAGCATTTGATAAGTTCAACATCCTTTCTTGATAAAATCTCTTAAGATGCAGGCATATAAGGAAAACTTCTCAACTAACGTTAACAAAGGTCACTTATGAAAAGCCCACAGCCAACATCATAATGAATAGGGAACAACTGAAAGCTTTTCCACTAAGACACAGTACAAGGCAGGGATGCCCACTCTCACCGCTTCTGTCCAACATAGTACTGGAAGTACTAGCAAGAGCAATCAGATAAGAAAAAAAATAAATAAAAGGAAGTCAGATTTGAAGGGAAGAAGTAAAATTATCTTTACAACATTATCTTACATGTAAAAAAACTCAAAGACTTATTAAAAACTGTTAGAACTAATAATTCAGTAAAGTTGCAGGATTCAAAATCAATATACAGAGATTAGTAGCATTTTTAAACACAAATAATAATTTAACTGAAAAAGAAATCTAGAAAACAATACCAGTTATGATAGTATCAAAAAATAAAATGCTTAGGAATAAGTTTAATTAAGGAGGTAAAAGATCTGTACACTGAAAGTTATCAAACAATGGTGACAGAAATTCAAGACAAAAGTAATTGGAAAGATATCCTGTGTTGATGGATTAAAAGAATTAATATCGTTAGAATGTCCATACTACCCAAAGAAGTACAGATTCAATACAGTCCCTATCAAAATTCCAACGGCATCCTTCACAGAAACAGAAGAAAAAAATCATAAAATTAGTATGGAACTACAATAAACCCTGGATAGTGACAGCAAAACTGAGAAGGAAAAGAATGTTGGAGGTACACACTTTCTGATTTAAAATTATACTACAAAGCTAGACTAACCAAAACAATATAGTACTTGCATAAAAACAGAAAAGTAGACCAATGGAACGGAAGAGAGAGCCCAGAATAAGTCCACACATACACAGTCAACTAATTTTCCAACAGGGCACCAGAAGAAATAGGGAAACAATAGTTTCTTCCATAAATGAGGCTGGAAAAACAATTTCCATATCCAAAAAAATAAAATTGCACCCTTATACTGTACACAAAATCAACTCAAAAATTGACAAAAGATCTAAATGTAAGACCTGAAATCATAAAACTCCCAGAAGAGAACATAGGGCAAAGCACCTTGATATTGGCCTTGGCAATGAATTTTTGGGGTATCATACCAAAAGCTCTGACTATAAAAGCCAAAATAAATAAATGGGACTACATCAAACTAAAAAGCTTCTGCAAAGCAAAGGAAACAATCATCAAAATAAAAAAGACAATCTATGGACTAGAAAAAAATATTCGGAAACCACATATCTGATAAGGGGTTAATATCCAAATTTTATAAAGAACTCTTACAAATTAATAGCATTAAAAAAGCCAATTTAAAAGTGAGCAAATGATCTGAAAGAACATTTCTCCAAAGAAAACATAAAGGTTGATCGATCCAATTAAAAGCAGCTGCAGTCTACAACATTCACAGAGAGGAATGAAAAGGGGTGAGTGAATTCAGCACTTTTAACTGACATATCGAGGTTCTTGCATTGGGACTGAGTGGGCAAACACAATTCATGGAGAACAAAGAAAGTGGGGGGTGGGGGGGCAACAGCCCACCCAGGAGTGGCATGGAGCCAAAGGAACCACCACCCTCAGCCAAGGGAACCAGTGAGTGAGTGTGCAGCCCCACCCAGGAAACCACACTTCTCCCACAAATCTTTGCAGCCCATGGGTAAGGAGATCCCCTCATGAGCCCATGCCACCAGGGCCTTGGGTCTGATACACAGAGCTGTGGGAGTCTTGAGAGAGCAGCCACTCAGGCACACACAGAGATCCAGGAGTTTTACATAACTCCATCAGTACATATCCCTAGGAAGGGAGGTGAATCCAGGAAGCCAAAAATATCATTCTGTGGGCCCCACTTCCATGGCACCTCACAAGTTAAGACCCACTGGAATCCCAGCAAGCCAATGGCACTGGCTTGGAATCCCAGCAAGCAATGGCAGTGGGTTGCCAGAGATGGGTCTGAGTTCCTGGAGGTAGGTGAAGACGCCATCTCTGTGGTTCAGTTGATTCAGTTGATTTAGCTGCTCCAGCTTGCCAGCTTTGGAGAATACAGGTGTCCTGGACAAGGAAGGGTCCCCCACAATGCAGCACACCTGCTCTACCAAATAACAGTCAGACTGCTTCTTTGGTGGCGGGGGGTCCCTGATCCCGTTCTGCTGACTGGGTGAGATATCCCAACTGGGGCTTCCAGCCACCTTCTACAGGTACATGCAGACTGGCAACAGGTCAGTACTCCCCTGGGATAGAGCTTCCAGAGGAAGTAGCTGGCTGTCATCTTTGCTGTTTCACAGCCTTCACTGGTGATACTTCCAGGTATGGGAGAAACTGAGGCAACTAGGGTTTGGAGCAGATCCCCAGCAAACTGCAGCAGCCCTACAGTAGAGTGGCCTGTTAAAAGCCAAAACAAACAAACAAACAGAAAACAACAACAATATCAACAAAAAAGACCCCATAAAAACCTCAAAGGTCAGCAACATCAAAGATCAAAGGCAGATAAGCCCACAAAGATGAGAAAGAATCAACGTAAAAACGCTGAAAACTGAAAAAGCCATAGTGTCTTTTCTCCAAATGACTGTAACATTTCTCCAGCAAGGGCAAAGAACTGGGCTGAGGCTGAGATGGCAGAATTGACAGAAGTAGGCTACAGAAGGTGGCTAATAACAAACTTCACTGAGCTAAAGGAGCATGTTATAACCTAATGCAAAAAAAAGGTAAGAATCATGGTAAAACA